CCGAAACGTCGTGAGAATTGTTTTATTATGTTTTATTTTTATTATTTTATTACTTCCCTTCTACGTGACTTTACCGAAAGAACCAAGAAGATGATTTAAAAAGAGCCGAGCTCTTGTAATAATAGGTTTTTGCCCTTTCAACTGGTACAAAAACTGACACCTTTATACAAGTCATCATGTTTGCAATAACCACAACACAAGCAGTCAAAATGCAAGCAAAAAGAAACAACTCTGATGATAATGATATGCACTGTCCTTAAAGTTGATTGGTCCACACCCGAGACAGTTGAAAGGGTAAAAACCTATTACTATATTTTGCCACTGGTAAAGAGGTCTCATAGTGTAAATGCTTACCCCGAGCTCTCAATACTCTGATAGTGCACTGTCTTTGAGTTGTACGCCTTTTGGCGTCATCTGGTCCAACACCAATGGAGACTAGGCTCTAAGAAAAGCTGTCTCGGGTGTGGACCAATCAACTTCAAGGACAGTGCATATCATTATCATCCGAGTTGTTTATTTTTGTTTGCATTTTGACTGCTTGTGTTGTGGTTATTGCAAACATGATGCCTTGTGTAAAGGTGTCAGTTTTTGTACCATTTGAAAGGGTAAAAACCTATTACTATATTTTGCCACTGGTAAAGGAGGTCTCATTCTTTACGGGGAGTGGAGACGAGGAGGAGGGAGCACAGTGAGACTCACGCTCACTCACTCGCACGCTGTCAGACTCGCTGTTTCACTCTCAAACTCTGTCTCACCCTCACTGTAATCACTCTCAAATACTCTCTCATTCACTCACTCATTCTCTGTCACATGCACTCTCTCACTCTCCCACTCACTCTCACACTAACTCACTATCACACTCACTCTCTTACACTCCCGCTCAATAACTCACGAGTATTTACTCTCACGCTCACATTCGCTATCTTACTCATACTCATTGTCTCACTCGCTCACCCACATGCACTCTCACACACACTCTTACTCTCCCGATCAATAACTCTTACATGCATTCACATTCACACTCACTAACTCACACTCACTCTCTCACTCACTTTATCATGCTCCCACTCACTCTCATTAACTCCCCCACTCACTCATTCTCACATTCTTTCATGCTCACTCACTCTCTCACTCACTCTGTCTCACTCGCACTTACTTACCATCACACTTACTGTAACTCTCATTCACGTTCACACACATTCACTCTAACACTAACTCTCTCACTCTCCCATGCACTCTTACAACATCAATCTCACACTAACTTTCACACTCATTCTCACTTTCACACTCCCTCACACACTGAATCTCACACTCACTAACTCTCAAATTCACTCACATTTACTCTCAATCACTCATGCTCACACACTAACTCTGACACTCATCTTCACACTATCTCACTCTCAAACTCATGCACTCTCACACTCACTCTCACTATCTCACTAACTCTAAAACTCATGCAGTCTTACACTCACTCTAATACTTACAAACTCTCACACTCACGCTCACTCACTCTCTCATAATCACTTTATACTTTCATGCAATCAGTCACACAGGGTTGGCATCGTACCCACAACTTCCTGCATCCAGGCGAGGGAGATAACATCTTAGTCTACATTATTGGAGGACTAGTCAACTGGTAGACTAATAGTCAACTGGTAGACTAACAATCTACTGGTAGACTAATAGTCCACTAGTAGACTAACAGTCCACTGGTAGACTAACAGTCCACTGGTAGACTAATGCACAGGGACAAATGCCACTGGGAGTTCCCAATGGCTGGACCACGTAGCAACTTCGCCCCATATTGCCAAAGCCTGGTCTTCCTCACTATGGAACCCAGGGCCCTCAGCGATGTTGGCTCATTGCTTACTTGCTGCACTTTCCCCAAAAGATTGCTGAAGGTTATACCGGGTGACCTGCATCTTTGTCTGTGTGTAGATGGCCAAGGCTGAAGAGAAGGTGGGCTCCAGGAGCAGCGTGCAATGGAGTGCGCTGCCCACATCGGACAGCGTTGCCATCGCCAGTAGTAAAACCCCACAAGGTGATAGATGTGATCAGAGAAGTCATGGTGGGGGACGTCATGGTGGTCACAGTTGAAAACAAAAACAAGCATGTGAATGGCTATGGAATAAAAATCTCGCGAGGCAGGGTGGCACAGCAGGAACACTCCTCGTGCATTTCTCTTTGGAGTCGGGATGATTTCCCCCTGCTCTGCATGGGATTCCTCCGGGTTCGCCATTTTCCTCCCACAGCTAAAGAAAATTATTCAAACATCCCAATGCAAAAAAAAAATTAGTGTTAGTGATTATATGCAGTCCAGGGATTCAGTGGAGCTTTCTTTGGTAAACAAGCATCGTATATTTTATTATCATTTCAGCAGGAAGGGCCCAATAAGTGGCTAGGCTATGTTTCTTGGGTGTCCTACGATCGTATGGATGTTAAACAAGTCTTCATGACAAAAGCGCGGTTTCATACAGTGAGGGAAATAGTATTTGATCACCTGCTGATTTTGTACGTTTGCCCACTGACAAAGAAATGATCAGTCCATAATTTTAATGGTAGGTTTATTTGAATAGTGAGAGAGAGAATAACAACAACAAAATCCAGAAAAACGCATTTCAAAAATGTTACAAATTGATTTGCATTTTAATGAGGGAAATCATTATTTGACCCTCTCTCAATAAGAACGATTTCTGGCTCCCAGGTGTCTTTTATACAGGTAACGAGCTGAGATTAGGAGCACACTCTTAAAGGGAGTGCTAACCTCAGCTTGTTACCTGTATAAAAGACACCTGTTCACAGAAGCAATCAATCAATCAGATTCCAAACTCTCCACCATGGCCAAGACCAAAGAGCTCTCCAAGGATGTCAGGGACAAGATTGTAGACCTACACAAGGCTGGAATGGGCTACAAGACCATCGCCAAGCCGCTTGGTGAGAAGGTGACAACAGTTGGTGCGATTATTCGCAAATGGAAGAAACACAAAAGAACTGTCAATCTCCCTCGGCCTGGGGCTCCATGCAAGATCTCACCTCGTGGAGTTGCAATGATCATGAGAACGGTGAGGAATCAGCCCAGAACTACACGGGAGGATCTTGTCAATGATCTCAAGGCAGCTGGGACCATAGTCACCAAGAAAACAGTTGGTAACACACTACGCAGTGAAGGACTGAAATCCTGCAGCGCTCGCAAGGTCCCCCTGCTCAAGAAAGCACATATACATGCCCGTCTGAAGTTTGCCAATGAACATCTGAATGATTCAGAGGACAACTGGGTGAAAGTGTTGTGGTCAGATGAGACCAAAATGGAGCTCTTAGGCATCAACTCAACTCACCGTGTTTGGAGGAGGAGGAGGAATGCTGCCTGTGACCCCAAGAACATCTCCACCGTCAAATATGGAGGTGGAAACATTATGCTTTGGGGGTGTTTTTCTGCTAAGGTGACAGGACAACTTCACCGCATCAAAGGGATGATGGACGGGGCCATGTACCGTCAAATCTTGGGTGAGAACCTCCTTCCCTCAGCCAGGGAATTGAAAATAGGTCGTGGATGGGTATTCCAGCATGACAATGACCCAAAACACGGCCAAGGCAACAAAGGAGTGGCTCAAGAAGAAGCACATTAAGATCCTGGAGTGGCCTAGCCAGTCTCCAGACCTTAATCCCATAGAAAATTTGTGGAGGGAGCTGAAGGTTCGAGTTGCCAAACGTAAGCCTCGAAACCTTAATGACTTGGAGAAGATCTGCAAAGAGGAGTGGGACAAAATCCCTCCTGAGATGTGTGCAAACCTGGTGGCCAACTACAAGAAACGTCTGACCTCTGTGATTGCCAACAAGGGGTTTGCCACCAAGTACTAAGTCATGTTTTGCAGAGGGGTCATATACTTATTTCCCTCATTAAAATGCAAATCAATTTATAACATTTTTGACATGCGTTTTTCTGGATTTTGTTGTTGTTATTCTGTCTTTCACTGTTCAAATAAAACTACCATTAAAATTATAGACTGATCATTTCTTTGTCAGTGGGCAAACGTACATCATCAGCAGGGGATCAAATACTTTTTTCCCTCACTGTAGGTGGTGATACCAAATTCGTTATCAGTCTGTTCTTCACATGTTACAGGAATACGGAACTGGTTAAAAATGCAATGAAAAAAAAACACGACCACATTGCTTAGTGAACAAATTAAAGAAACGAAAATGTTTTATTTGACAAAGCAATATTATAATAGGACAATATTAATCATCATTGTTCTTATGTTTGCAGAAATCTTGAAGCTCTTTGGGGATTTCCTGACCCCCACCGAGAGAAGCGAGGTCCTCAACGTGAATAACGTCTGGTATTTCGGAGTCCATAACAAAGGCTTTGGCACTCAAAACCATGGCTACGATGATGTCTACAACCATTGTGTCTCAGTACGACTCTCCTCAGGTCACATAACACGTGGAGAACACACAAAGTCTGCACACTGACAAACACCATAATAATCTGCAATAGTTTAGTGGGCTTTACCTGGTAAAAAACAATGTTTTGCTTGAAAGAGGTTAAATCAAAGTTAAAAGAGCTTTTCTTTTTTACCTCTAGGATCTATCATAGTTAATACTTATTGAATGCACTTGGTATTTGCACTATCATTCTTAGAACGCAAAGCTATCACAAAGGATGGTGCCTGCTGTGTTTCACAGACACCGTCTGCAGTCATTTTTCAGTAGCGGGCGTAACACCAGCATGATAATCTTATGACTTCACAAGGTCTGTAACGTTCTACTTTAAACCAAACAGCGCAAAGCATCGTATGGTTATTACTGAAGTAATTTCTGAAGTAATAACCATGGCAGCTTGCAGAATTTGAACCATGAACTTCTGCAACAAGCGGTCAAAGCACTCCCACTGGTCTATGTCATAGCACTATAAGATTGTGTTTCTGCGCTGTGGGTGTACAAGGGTGCTGTGGTTTGTAATGATGTTTTACCTGGTCTGCATCATCCCTGCAGATGGTTCGGGGATGCCTTTGATGTCCGGACAAAGCAGGGTCCCAGGCAGTCACTCCCTATACCTGGCACTCGGGAGCCAGGACTCGGAGTTCCACGACTTCATTAGCCGCTGCCTGGAGTAAGAACCCCCTCCCCCCCACACAGTGGTTTTTCCCAGTCAGTCACCTGGTAAAAAGAAAAGAGTTTAATAGTTTAGCATCACTGGCGAATGCTCCTCTTTGATCACGAGCTCCACTCTCTATTCTGATTATTCTTTATCTTCCAAGCCATATATCCCATTAGACAACCTTATCCATAGACTTGCATGTAAAAAACATGCACTTGCATAGAGACCCACAGACTCACATACACTGACATGGTCCATATACGTGTAGTGACTCAGTCGGAGACAGGGTTCTTAAGGGACCTTCCTTATTCCACACGTCAGGAAACCACATGTGCCCCGCGTGTCTACGCGCTAGTCACACATCCATGTCCTTGACGGCACTACCTAGATGGAGCAGTCTGCAGGCTGTCTAGCTAGCGGCGTCAAAGGTGGTCGGAGACTGCGGCGACGAAGGTGACGAATGGCGACAGAGCGTGGGGATCCACTTCCAGCAACAGCCCCGAGCTCTCGTCCCGGGCCCCCTTTTATCCCCCTGGCGTGGCCTCGCCCCGCCTCGCTACGCCCTCTTTCTCGAACCTACTAGTGGTTTCTCAGGCTTCCAGATCGATTTCTTCCTGGGCTTCTTTTTAGATCTCCCGCTGCTGACGTGTGTACTGCCCCCTGCTGCCAGTACCGCTTTCTTGTCAGCAGCCCGCGTTATTACACTACACGTGTATAGAGAGACCCATAGACTCTCATACACTCACATGGTCCATACCAATACCGCCATTTGCCCCTAAGTGATGGTGATGTGACCATGACGCTTGTGCCAGGCTAGGTGCACTTTGAGACGTGGAGTGCCTAAGGCTCGCTGACTGTAGGTCATGGGACATACCCAGCGGGTGCCATGGTTTGGCTGACTGAGATGACTGACACATGCACCACTGTACCTCCTACTGTGCCAACTTACTGAATTTTAGCCACCTGGCGCTCCACTAAGTGTTGTGAGCATCATTCCTCTGCCCTCCGAGGGCGGCTGTCTCCACCTGCCCAGTAGCGTCCTTCATGAGCCTCCTCCAGAGGCCGATCTTGACACTGCAGGTACCAGTCTTCGGCAAGTCAACTCAGCTCCACATCCTCTCGTACCGCATCAGTCCATCTCTTCTCCAGCCCGTGTCGTGCCAATTTATCCCCCTCGATGCAACCAAACAGAAGCTGCTTGGGTATGCGGTGGCTGGGCATGCGGGCTACATGACCGAGCCAATCCAGCCTTACCTGTCGGAGGAGCTCACTGATGGGAATGTGTCCAAATCTTTCAAGAATTTGTGAGCTCCTCACACAATCCAGCCTGGATAAACCTAGGATGGATCGAAGGAAGGCCAGCCTAAACGTTTATAACAGGCACAGATATTCCTTTAGAGGGGTCCACGTTTCACAAGCATAGAGAAGAGAGGGCATGACTGTGCCCGAGAAGATCTGAAGCTTCGTGTGGAGCGACAAACCAGATAGCTTCCACACAGCATTGCTCAGCCGATAAAAAAACGACGCCCAACTGCTGATTCAGTAAGACCTCTGCTGTCGAACCGGAGCTGGTCATAAGCACACTGGCCAGGTATGGGAAACTCTCCACTCTCTCCACAACTGCTCCATGACCAACGGGGAGCTGAGGGGGTGGAGTGTTTGATGGTACAAAATGCCCATGCAGGTGCTTAGTGTTGGTGGGGCTGATGGTGAGGCCCCACCTCTGAGTGGCAATCTCCAGGTTCAGCAGTAGTGCTTCCAACTCCTCCTCTGAGTGAGCAGCAATCACCAGATCAGCATAATTACATGGTTGACCAATAGCGAGCCATTACTCGACCCCACCCAGTCTCCCATTTTCTCTGTACCAGATGGAAATTTCTCCGGTACAGCCATCAAAGGCTCGACAAACTACATGGACGAAAAGATGTTAAATAATGTGGGATGCAGAGGACATCCCTTTCGCACCCAAAGGTAAACAGGGAATGGCTCTGACTTCTGGCCACGTAGCTTTACCTGAGGTTGGCCACCATCATGAAGGCCCTTAATGTCCACACACTTACATAGAGACCCACAAACTTGCATACACTTACATCAGCCATACATTTACAAATAGACCAATAGACTCACATGTACTGACATGGTCCATACACATATAAAGACCCAGACTCATACACTTATATGGTATCTACACTTATAGAGACCCATAGACTCACATATCCTTACAGAAAAGCCCTTAAAAGGAACATATATCGATATATGTATATCATGTATGTGGAGGTGGGCTCGTGAAGTATGCCACTGGGCAATGCCAGGCTACTGGGCAGTTGGAAGCATTGGCCCTCCAACAACAATTGAAGGTGGTGGAGCGATGTTCACAATGAGTGGAGCACCAGGGGGACAAACACATCAAGGTGGCACAGTGGGGAGAACAGAAGGTTCATCTGACAGTCATCACCAATAGTGGAGGATTTCTGCTTCTCTTTTTTTAATATATATAGTCAGGTCCTGCAATTTTTTAAAATCAGGGCTCTATGACACAATCAGCCACTATTGAGTCATGACATAGCCAACATCGTGGTGTATTTGATTATTGCAACTCACTAGTCTAAGGGACGTCTGGAAAAAGCATTAGGAAGCTGCAGCATGTACAGTGATACCTCGGTTCACGAACTTAATTCGTGAACTGACTCTGGTCGTGAACCGAATTGGTCGTGAACCGAGGCACATTTTCCCATAGGGTTCAATGTAAATCCGGTTAATCCGTTCTGACCTTTTTCTTTGGTTTTTGAAGCACAAAAATATGAAACAAATTACAATACACATTAGTACTGTACAGTATAGTAATGTATAAAGAGAGAACACGAACCTTGCTTGAGATGACTTCAGTAAGCACTCAAACGGGTGAACTGTACAATACAGTAAGTACAGTATTGTACAGTACAGTAGTACAGTACTGTATGGGCTAAAAAGCACACCAAAAAGCAACAAGTCACTGAAAGTGTCTTCACAGTACTCACAGTACTTCTTTCTGTGTCTCTTCTCTCCACGATCTTCCTACAGGAAGTCACGACCATGTGACAGCCTGGAAATAGCATTAAAATGGCCGCGGCTCCTGTTCGTGAACCGAAGCGGAGTTCGTGAACCGGAGCATATTTTTATGAACTTTTCTGTTCGTGAACCGAGTTGTTTGTGAACAGAAGCGTTCGTGAACCGAGGTATCACTGTACAACATTCTTTGCAAGATTCAACCATGTCCGTCCAGTGTTCACGGAGCTGCATTAGATTACATTTGCTGAACGAATATATTTTAAGGTCGCACTCATTACACACAAAATGCTTACCACAAATGAGCCACAATATCACTGGGAAATTCACTTTTTACTCTAGATTGAAAATTACATCTTTTTATAACTCAGTATTGAATGTAGTTTGTTGTCCTTCACCCGCACCTGCAATTGGCTATGTACGGTGTGAAAGAAGTTTAACATACACACTTAAGTTAATGGACACAGTGAAAGAAAGAAATGCACATAAATCCTTACATAATTATCACCCTTACCACGTGTGCCACATATTTCTGTGTCTCAACAGATGGGATCCAGCTCTGCGGATGACACCAGCAGAGGCACTGGCGCATAGCTGGCTGAGGGATGAGGAAATGCCGAGGGATGAGGAAATGCCGAGGGATGAGGAAATGCCGAGGGATGAGGAAGTGCCGAGTCAGTGTGTGCCTCTTGTGGACACATCAATCCACGCAGAGGCATCCGCCAAGGAGGCGACGAGACAGTGGGGTGAGCCCCTGCAGAAAGAGAAGAAGCAGTCACGTCTGGTTAGTGCATACAGGGCCGTATGCTCATTCTTCCGTGGCTTTAAGAAATGCACCGCATGCGACCGTAATGCTCATCCTGGGCGTGTACACATTCCACACACCGTATACACACACGCTCGCCTAAGCGAATACATGAGCAACTTCCGGTGCTAGCGTCAATATCAGATCCCATCTACTGAGTTTTTTAACCCCACATAAATACAATAAAACCGCTCTTAACGACGGTAATTGGTTCCATGAATATGGTTATTAAGTAATTTGGTAATCAAGCAAGTACAGTCGACCCTTACACATCGCGGGGATTAGGGGTGCAGGCCCCCCGCGATCTGGAAAAACCGCATAAAATGTTTGGTCCCCTTGGCGAGCGAAGAGAGCACCTCCAGTTACTAAACTTTTTAAGTTATCTCTACATGTTCAGTCTTTGCGTGTCGTCTGATGGCTTTTGCGTTCTTTTAGAAAACTTTAACTTTTTACAAAATATAACGTAAAAAAAATTATTGTGTATATTTATGGTATTAAAAGATACACTAGATTAATGTTATACAGTACTGTACATATATTTTATGCATTTGTAATGCGGGCGTAAACGGCCCTCCGGAGGTGACGTCAGGAGGGGAGGAGTTAGGTCACGTGGGGGGGTGAGGGGTTAGGCTATAGAAGGAGGGGAACCGGAAGAGGATGGGGAGTGACGGGGAACCAGGAACAGGGAGAGGCCACGAAGGGCGAAGCGGAGGGTGGCGAGACCGCCACGAACACGGGGGGAGCGAGGATCGGCACCGTTGGCCAGCGGTGACCGACCTGAAGCAGCGGGGAGGCTGCAGTCAGCAGCGGGGCTGCACAGAGAGTCGGCAGCGGGGCTGTACACAGAGTCGGCAGCGGGTCTGCATACGGTAGCAGCCAGAGGGTCTGCACATAGGGGAAGCAGCGGAGTCTACATAGGGGTGGCAGCGAGTCTGCAGGGAGAGAACGGTGGTTACGGTAGACGAAGCAGAGAGTCTGCGGGAAGAGAAAGGAAGCTATAATAGCGGTGAACAGCCGGGGGCTACAAATACAGAGTTATAACGGAGTGCCGTGTGGGAGAAGACAAGAACCCAATAAAAGACACGAAGACAGAAAGAAGTGTCTGAGTCCTTTTATTACACTGGAGTCAGAAGTGAAACGGCATGGCGAAACAACTGAGGAAAAAGAATATTCCATCCCCGGCGTCGGCTTCATCTTCGGACGACGACGATCTTCCTCCTGAGGTCGGCTTCACTTCGGCGGAGAGAGAGATCCGTGAGGGCCCGGGTGTCGAGGAGGTTGCCGCTTCGTCCGACCCATCTGCGTTGAGGGACGAAGATTTAAGATGGACCCGGATGGCGGAGCAACTGGCAACCCTAAAAACCGTCATCACAGAGTTGTGTGACCTTGTCACGCCAAGGGCGGCGTTGGAAGGTGATGGTGGTGATCGGCAGGAGACCGGGTCGTCTTCGATGGCGCCGCCATCGGCCACGCGGCGTGAAGACGCCATCTTGGGCGTGGCGCACCACGGAAGGCGGGAAGCCGCCATTTTGGGGCCGCCGCGAGGATCGTCCGCCATCTTGGCGACACAGCGTTGCGACGCCTTGCTGAACTTACCGCCGGAAGAGTCAGCGACGGACGGAAGCAAGCCAAGGAGTCGCAGTCGTCACCTTACAACCGTCAAAGAGTTCTCCATCGGGGGCGATTGGAGTGCGTTCGCCTGTAGATTTTTGGCGGCAGTACGTACGGCAAGGTGGACGGACGCTGAGGCACTGGAGGTGCTCCCGACTCTTCTTGATGATGAGTCCGTTCGTTTTTTTCGCTCTATAAAAGCTGCAAAGAAGAAAACTCTGCGAGGGGTGTTCGATGAAATGGCGGACGCGTACGAGCCACCGGATGACGCCCATCGCCGATTCGTGCAGCGGCAACGCGCACCTGAGGAGTCACCTGTAGCGTACAGGGGCGCCGTGTTGGAACTCGCTATGGCCGCTTACCCGGAGACGGAGCCTGACCTGCTGGAACCACTCATCTTGGGGAAGATGTTGGAGTTGTCCCGAGATCTTGGCATTCCTATGCCGGCGTGCGGTCACGAAAAACTCACGTCCCGGGCCGCGGCCAAGTGTTTGGACGCCCAGTTCAATCTCCGCCGCTGGAAACAGGTGACGGCGTGGACGGGCGGTCCTGTCGTCGATGGGGGGGCCGTAGGGTGGGACCCTACAAAGGCCGTGTACGTGCCGGATGCGACCGGCCAGAAGGAGTTGTCGGCTGCCTCTGCTCCGTGGCCGGCCCGGAGCGGGCCGGGGCCGCGGGCTCCGCCGCCGGTGCGGCCGCGTCGGGACGGGGTGCCCGCTGCGCGCCGCCCCGACGTCGACTGCTTCCGTTGCGGCCGTCGGGGCCACTATGCCAGGGACTGCTGGGCCCGGGTTCCGGGGCCGCCCCAGCAGGAGGCCTCGACAGCGGACGCCCCAAAGAAAGACCCTCCGGCACAGACAAGTCGGTGCGCACCAGACACCCGGCAAGGCCCGACACCTCACTCATCGCCGTTGGTATGCGACGCGGATGTTGTAAAATACGGGAGGCCAGTATCTGCGCCTTGTCGTTCGATAACGCAGTGGCGTAAGCTGGCTCGGCGGGTTGTCGCGGCCGCTACCGGGTCGTCCACTGTACCGGGGTCGATTCAAGGGGTGGACGTACGTATCTTGGTGGATTCCGGGGCGTCCGCGACCATTATTTCGGATGTGATATTCCATCTTTTGAACATCCCACCGGGGGCCGTGAGGCCGGCTTACGCTTCCTGCATCGCTGCGAACGGGGGTAGTATGGGCATCGTGGGACAGGTGGACGCTAACATTTCTATCGGTGGTGTCTCGGCCTCGGGCGTTGTGTTAATTTCAAGGTCCCTGGCGGTTCCTTGCCTGTTGGGTACGGATTTTTTGGCTAAGATGCCCATTCTAATTAGAATCAATGAAAATTGCATTGAACTACCAGGGGGCCGGAAATTGGCGTTTTTACAGTCTGCCTGGGGGCGACCGGCTCCGGTTACCCAGGTGCAGGCGTTATCGGAAGTTTCGGTTGATATTCCACCTGGCTCGCAGATGCTCATTCCCTTACGATACCGGAAGCCGGTTCCGGGTCGGCAGGGTGCTTTTGGGATCTTGCTGTCGCCGTCCGCCGCTGTTACGGGCGGACTGGCACTGGTGGGGGCGCAAACTATTGTCCGTCCAGATCAGTGCCCGTTTTTGCAGGTGTTAAATGCGAGTACTGAAAGTGTGTGTGTGCCGGCTGGTACCGTTGTGGCACACGCCACTACGGCGTTTACGGCTCAGAGTGACCTGCCGGACGGGGGGCTGGTGGGTGGTGTTTCACACGATGGAGGGGTGGATGATCGTTGGATCGCCGAATTATGTGGGGAAAATTCGGCCCTTTCCGCCGAGCAGCGTTGTGCAATTCATAAATTATTATCGAGCTATTCCGATGTGTTTAGCTCGGACGATTTGGACTTGGGACGCACCTCGCTGCTCTCTCATATCGACACGGGGGACGCTGCCCCTATCCGCTTGAACTCGCGTCGGATGAGTCCGGCTGAGCGTGAGCATGTTCGAGGGGCAGTGGAAGACATGTTGAAGGCGGATATTATATCTCCGTCTAATAGCCCGTGGGGCGCGCCTGTTGTGTTGGTTAAAAAAAAGGATGGTAAATTGCGATTTTGTGTGGATTTTCGGAAGTTGAATAAAGTGTCGGTGGCAGATGCGTATCCCCTGCCGCGTATGGACGATTCTCTCGACGCCTTGTCAGGGGCTAAGTTTTTTTCAACGCTTGATCTCTCTTCGGGCTTCTGGCAGCTCCCCCTTGACGAGCCCTCGCGGGAAAAAACAGCTTTCCGTACGCCGCAGGGGTTATTCCAATTTAATTGTCTGCCGATGGGGTTGAATGCAGCCCCTGCCACTTTTCAGAGATTGATGGAGTTGGTATTGACGGGGTTGCAGTGGGAGACATGTCTCATTTATTTAGATGATATTATTGTCTTCAGCCGCACATTTGATGAGCATTTACTGCGGTTGGAGGCTGTATTTGCCAGAATGCGTTCTGCTAATTTGAAATTCAAGCCTAAGAAATGTCATCTACTGCAACGCTCCGTTCGGTACTTGGGACATATTGTTAGTGCGGACGGAGTGGCCACGGATCCAGAGAAAACTGCGTGTGTCCGGGATTGGGCAACCCCGACCACGGTGGGTGATGTGCGTCGGTTTTTGGGGTTCACCTCATATTATCGGAGGTTCATTCCGAATTTCGCTACTATCGCCAGGCCTTTGCATCTCCTTACTGGGAAGGGGCATAAATTTGTGTGGGGACCGCCGGAGGAGGCGGCGTTTCGGAGCCTGCGCGATTTACTGGCTACTGCACCGACGTTGGATTATCCGGATTTTGAACATCCCTTCATTCTGGATACTGATGCGAGTGACACTGGTATTGGGGCGGTGTTGTCCCAGTCAAAAGGTGGTGTTGAGCGTGTGGTGGCGTATGGGAGTCGAGTTTTGTCTCCCGCGGAAACCCGTTACTGCGTCACTCGCAGGGAACTTTTGGCTATTGTGTTTTTTCTCCGCCAATTTCGACCGTATCTGTACGGTCGGTCGTTTATTGTCCGCACGGACCATGCGGCCTTGCAATACGCTCTTAAGATGGACCAGCCATCCGGACAATTGGCGAGATGGCTGGACACGTTGCAGGAGTTTTCCTTCCAAATTCACCATCGGAAGGGTGTGCGTCACGCTAACGCGGACGCACTGTCCAGGTTGCCGCAACAATCCCCTTGTGCGTGTGCGTCGGGGACGCATAGGTGTGGACCGACTCAGCTCCCCCCTCAGCCTGTCGCGCTGGCGGTGGATGTTCTCGAAACTCCGCTTACACCGGGACCGGTTGACGGGGGACCGGCGGACGGGATTTTGCGTCTTCCGAGGTCTGTGTGGATTCGGGAGCAAATGTTGGACGATTCTTTGGTGTCGTTACGAAAACGAACGGAGAAGGCGGGTAAGGAACTCGGTGCGGGTGGTATTTCGGAAACTGCTCTCCGAGATGGGTTACTGATGTGGAGGGAAGGGATACAGGAACACTGGCGTCTCGTTGTGCCTGCGTCATTGCGGTATGAGTTGATTAGATCGTTGCACTGTGACACACTTTTACATCTGGGGGTGCAGAAAACCCTGTTGACGCTGCAACGAGACTATTATTGGCACGGCATGACGACGGATGTCGTCGGTCACGTTCGTGCGTGTCCCGATTGTGCCCGCCGTAAACCGCCTAAACATCCATATGTTCCGCCGATACAATCGATTCAAGTATCTCGGGTTAATGAGCTGGT